AACCTACAGCCCAGGCGGGTGCCCGGACCAAGGCTCAGATTCTTAAATGCGACCGTGGGTGAGGGCCTTGTCCTCTCTCGGCCTCAGTGCCCGCTTCTTCTCTGGTCTGTGAGCCCAGTGAATTCCTCATCTGCAGCTGGGACCGGTCGGAGCAGAAGGCCAAAGTCATTCGACGACACAAGGAACAGACAGGGCGGCTTTGGGAACAAATTCCAACTCTGCCGCACGCACCCCTGCAGTGAGGACGGGTCTGAGGGACTCGACCCAGGAGCCTGGCTCAGGAAGTTCTCCTTAAATGGCCCTCCATGTGCTGGGGTCCAGGGCCGCCCCTTCCCCCAGCCCAGTTCTGAAGTGTGAAGGTTAAACAACTCCGGGAAAATGCTGGCTCTGAAGGGCAGCTTCCTCCCCCGTCCCTTGTCCGAATTCCTTCACACTCGATGGAATTCCTACATAAAGCCCCTTTTTCTCTTCTGTGAGGTCACCCTCACACAGATGTCTACAAGACAGAAAGAACGTCGGGTGTGGATCAAGGCCTCTGGAGCTGAATGCATTTCAGATCCGGCTTCACACTTCCCCCGCCCTCCACCTTCCAGTTCGGTTGGCCCCTCATTCTCGCCCCCCCTCCCCACAGAGCCCCGCCACAGCAGCCAGTTGGGTTGGGAGGGGCGCGCCGATCCTGCCGCCAGTGGACGCCAAGAAGGCCTGGCTAGAAGACGGGTCCTTTGCCACCAGACCACCCGAGAAGTTGTCTGTGGAAAAATCCAGAATTGGAGACAGCGGCAGAGGCTGTGTGTGGGGGTCTGTTTCCACACAAGCAAGTCCTGTTACAGGGACAGATGTCAAAATGCTAGTTCAAGTTCCCAACTTAAACGTTACAGGAAATTACACCACTAACCGATCAGTCCCAAGGTGAGCTCCTGTCTGGGAGTCGTGTCTGAGACGGCTGTTGGTCTATTTCACTCTCGGCCAAAGGAAAGGACTGTGTGTATGTCCCTCAGCTCCAAGAGGAATGACTAAAGCCACTGGCCTGATCATTTTCTTTTTAAACCAACATTTTTCCAGAAGGCTACCTGGTCACTACCCAAGAGTCTTCAATGAGAAGATGGCCAAACACCCAAAAGCCACTGAGGGTCTCTGGCCAAGCCTGACTATGGGCCACCTGTTCAACTGCAAAGTGATTTCACACTCAGAGGGACCGCAGGTGACTGCCCTGCCCCAGGAGCCCTCTTGGTCCCCAGAGTGCCACATCCTGGCTGCCATCTGAGGCGGTGGCCAAGGAAAGGTCTGCCGCCTGTGCACACTGCTTCCTAAGAATGACGTCAGACAAAAAGATAAAAATATAGAAACAAGGACTATTTTTACCTCTCCAAATCACAGACCAGACGGGAGAGAAATCCATCAATGCCAGAAATGCGGCTGAGCCTTCACTCAAGATCTATTATTTCACACCTTAAATTAACGCATCTCAAAGCAATTTGCAAACGCTCATCAACTCCGCAGAACAGCAGAGGGAAGGGACAGAGACACCTTCTCCTTCCAACAGCAACGGACACACAGGGGCGCAGGCCCTCCCGCACGGTGTTCCTTTCAAGTCCCGTGTGGTATGAACTGTGATAGAAACGGAAGTGAAGGAGGAAGGGAGAGGGGCGTGGGACCGAAATGGAGAGTGGCAGGAAGCCTCCGTGGACGTGACCCCGCTCAGCAGGGACAGGCAGGCCCCTCGGAGGGAGCTCTCCGCCATCAGGAGTCGGAAGACTGGGCTGCTCTCCCACGGGAGCTGGAGGTGCCAGCCTGCCCTCGACCCTGCGTGACTCACCAGCCTGCTCTGCTCTCCACCTTGTAACTGCCTTGCTCCGTCTGACCGGAGAAGAGGAAGGGAATATTCTTCTCTTTTTGACAATTGTTTTGACACTTCCCTTCTGAGACCAATCTTCGGCACTTAGAGAGGAAAGAAAAATGTAAACTGTAGCCCTCTCTACCGGACGGCTCTGGCCCTGGGCGTTGGTCACCTGCCCCAGGAGGGCAACGGGGAGCCAGGGAGAAGGGCAGCCTTCAGGAAGACCTGCCCCAGAAGGCTGCAGCCTACCGGGGACAGCCTGGCTCGAGCCCGGCGTGACTCCCCCGGCTCGTTTATGTTTTTCAGGAGGAAAGCAGGGCAAAGGCAGACAGACCTGGTTGAAGGTTACAGATCTTCAACTCAGGAATCAGAGACTCGGATTGTGACTCAGCCATTTGCCAGTATACGACCCTGCCCAGGTTACTTTACCTCCTGTGTGTTCCTCTTCCTAAGGTCAGGAAAACAATCCTGGACCTCAGCCCAGGGCCAGACACTGCACGAAGTGACCGTCACTTTCCAAGGTCAGTGGGAAGGCTGTGCTCAGGCAAGAGGGGTTCAAATCCAGGGTCAACTGCATATTAGTATGTGACCTTTGGCAGATTATTTAATCTGCCTGTGCCCCAGCTCTTCACCTGTAGAATGGGCATCACGAGAGCTCCGATCTCCAGGGTTGGTGTGTGAAGTGAGTGAGGTAAGGTACTAAAAGTACCCTGGCTGGCACATGGTAGGTCCTCAAGGAACAGTGGCCATGAGTTGCAGTACTACTTTCATAAAATTGTGCACGGCACTTCATCTCCCCGAGCCTCGGTTTTCTCATCTGGAAAGTGGAGATGTAACCATCTCGCTCCCAGTGAAAACTAAATGCATGCACGTGTGTTAAAGGACCCAGAGCCCAGTCTGCAAACCCTTTGGAAGGCAAATGTCACGTGCCTGATGGTGGAAAGAGGACGAGTGTGAAGTCAGGCAGGGGACCAGATTCTGCTTCTGCCTCCTCTTAGTGGCCCCAGGACACTGCTTGACCTCTCTGAGCCTCAGTTTCTTGGGACATGCAAGAACCCGAAAGCGGGGAAAAAATACAATGAAAACGACAAAACAAAACAAAAGCCATTCTCCGCAGCAGGACTATTGGGAGGATTGTGGGCACACAGAGGGCGCTCTGTGAATGCACCGCCCTTCCCCTCCCCTCTCCCTGCTCCTTCCTCGCTCAGAGCCACTGAAAGTGCCACTCAGCAAAGCCAGGAGCGCCGCCGTTTCTCGAAACCTGAGCAGCCCTGCACGCAGACCAACTTAGGCTTAAGTCTGAGGCTTTAGTTGGTGGAGATAGAAACTACTTTTTAGTCATTTCCAAAGCAGACAGGACGGCAGGAGCCAACAAACCACAGGGACCATTTTAAATCCTGGGCCTTTCTTCTGGGAAGTTAGGCAAGAACCTTCCCAAATGTTTGCCCGTGGGGCTCTCTGCCAGGGAGTGACTCAGCCACAGCTCCCCACGGGCATATTTTATTTGGGGGTGGGGGATCAGGGAGGGCCTGGTCTTGGTGGGGGAAGGGGAGGCAGCATTTCCAGCAAAGCCAGAAGGTGGGGTTTTCTTTCCCCTTCCATTTTTCAAGACAAAAAAGAAAAGGAATGCGGGCCTTTTTGCTTCCTTCCAGGTTTTGTTTGCTAAAAGAAGACGTCCAAAGTTCACTCGGTGAGCTGCTGAGTTGGAAACAGGCCCTTCCAGCCGGCTCCGCATCCCTTTCAATGAAATTCTTCTTCCATTAACGCCATGGTTTTTAAATGCCTCCAAGGTTCCCCTGCACACACACTGAACTCCTAGGACGACATTTTCCCCTCGGAAAGGCAGGCCGAATGTTGACAATTCAGAGAAACTAGGGAGCTCCTGCGTTTCTAAAGTTTGCCTTGAAGCAATGGAGATTTTCGACTGCAGAGATTTTCAACATGTACAAAAGCACAGAAAGACTGTCCGTCAAAACTGCGAGGACAGACTTTGGAAGACGGTGTCCCAAGCCTGCTGTGATCAATTTGTTACTGTCTTGGGGGCTCTTGGAGGCCCAGGCTCGAAACAAATAAATCAGAGGAATAGCTATCTACTTAGCATGGTAGGCGGTAGGCAGAGAGACGTCCAGGCACAGGTAAGTGTCTCCAGACTCCTGGTCTCCCCCGGGGCCGCTCCCTCCTCTCTTCCCCCTCCGACCCAGGCCTAGGGAAAAGGTTAAAATCTGCCAGGGCCAACACGGAACAGAACACAGCTGGGGAAACCAGAGGGGTACATAGGAAGAACTGAACACATGTCTCCTAGTGTCGGGCCCCCCACAGGCCCAGCCCAGTCTGTCCCTCCTGGAGTCTCCACAGAGGGTCCTGCCAGTGACCCTGCCAAGGTTTGGCTCAGAGGCTACCCCTCTGCGGGACCCAGCCATGCTCTGGGTCTGCAGGTCTGACCTCTGGCTCCTCATTCACAAAACAAGGCCCAGTTCCCCACTGGGTGCCCAGGCCAGGCCTGCTTCTCTCCATGGGCTCCCTGGCATCAGGGCTCGTGGTGGGCACATCACACAATAGGCTTGTGGGCACAAACAGGGACCCTTATCCTTCATAGTAAACATGTTCACACACTCCTGTACACTAATTACACACTCACACCCACAAATGCACAGTTTTGTTCTCATAGGCTCACGGAATACCTGCACAAATAACTTGTGAATGGTCACACACGTGTACTCCCTGAATCCACACACACTCCGTCACAAAAATGAGATCTCAGATGAAGCGCTTGGCACATAGTAGATTAAACACTCAGTAAATGGATCGATGGGAGCTATGCCCATTCCCCACGCCCCCCCACCCCTGCGCACTCATTCACCCCAAACCACACAAGCCAAGCACTCCGACGTGCACACGCACAAACTCTGCCACAAGCACGCACACATTCCTGCGAACACGCACGATGGGACGCACCACCTCGGACACACTCAGACTAGCACGTTCACACGCGTCCAATCTCACGCGCGCACAACTGCCTGCTCTCTCCGAGGAGCCTTGGGAGCGCGCGCGAGCACGCGTAGTGTCCTGGGCCCCAGTAAGGGTGACGGCCCAGCGCCCGGCCCCCGCCCCTTGCCCGAGCCGAGGGCCCGATCCAGTTGGGTCCTGGCCTCAGGCCACTCACCGGCGCGCGAAGGGTTCGGCTGCCAGCGGGAGGACCCGCGCGCGGACCGCGGGCGGCGGGCTGGAGCGGTGGGTCCCACACGAGTTGGCGGCGCAGCGGCCGCACGCTCGCCCGCCCTCTGTTCCGCCACCGCCTGTGCGGGCCCGCGCGCGCGCTCCCGCTCCTCCCCGCCTCGGGGCGCGCCGCCCCCTGCGCTCGTGCACGCTCCGCCACGCAGGCTTGGGGGGCTTCTCGGCTGCTCCCTCACCCTGCCGGCTTCCTCTACTCTCCCAAGACTACGTCCACTCAGCCCAGGCTCCCCTCCCCATTTCAAAGATAGGGAAACTGAGGCCCAAACTCGCACAGTGAGTCAGATGCAGCAGCCATCTCTCCCTTTTCTGGGGCTCTAGAAGTGGAAGATTTAGGGGCTGCAGTCAGAGAACCCCACGGAACCCTCCCTCGCGTCCTTGGGTGCCCCTCACCGAACATTGCTCCTATCACAGCCCTGGGCATACTGAAACCAGCCAATTAACAAACGCTTATTTTGTGCCTTCTGAATGCGGCGGGGGGAGAGGGGGCCCAAGGGAGCGCTGCTCCCTGCCCTCCAAGCACCAACATCTGCTTCTCTGGAGCTCCCCACTTCCTGTGGACCCCAAGACCAGTCAGAGTCAATGTGCAGAAGTTTCTGGAAGAAGTAACACTCTAATAATGAATGTTTAACACCCGCTCTAAGGAGACATCATGGGGGCCCAGGGACAACTACTCAGCTCCCAGCTTCACTTCCTCAGAGGACCCCTCCCCCCACAGAAGGGGCAGCTCCAGCTCCAATAGTTCCTGTTTCCACACGTGCTGCTTCTCCGTGTGCAAACTGTGCTGTGTCCCCTTCCTCCCTTACCCCAGTAGGGCAGGAAGCAGGGATGACACTGACTACCTGCCAGCTGCCCAGCTTGGGCACAGGGGATGCCCACTGGGCCTCCTTTGCCCAGTGAATGAACTAGCTTCAACAGGCTAGGACCTATAACAATAATGATACCAGCTGCGCACCCACTGTGCACCAGACTCTGCCAGCCTTGTGGTGTTCAGTCCCACAGCCATTCTATGAAGGAGGCACTATGCCACTTTTGTGCCCATTTTACAGATGGGGTAAATAAGTCTTAGAGTCGAAGCTTTGAAAGCAAATTCTCTTGCTTGAGGCCACGGGGCTGGTAGGCGGCTGAACTGGAAGCTGGAAGCTGGATTGTGGGTTGTGTAATTCCAATGCCTGTGCCTGATCTAGGCAATCCCGCCTCACGGACAGCATAGCCCTGAGCCGCTGGAATAATAAGGGTCAAACCAGGCATCAGCCGGTTCAGAAGCACAAGCCCAGGCCTGGTCCTTCCACTGACCAACAGGAACGAAATGGATCATTCTGCAAATTGGGTAGCTGTTTAGTCAGGGAATCTGTTTACAACCTCCTCTCATGTGATACGCCTCACAATAAATGTCAGATAGATGGAAGAGTTAAACATAAAAAAATATTGTGAAAATCACAGAAAACTAACATTGCCAAAAAGAAAAAAAACTAGTTCTGCCACAGGGTGTTGCGTTGTCACCAGCGGTCAGTGATCTTGGCTGTTTGTGCAGCAAGCATTCATCCGTTCATTCATTCATTCGTTCATTCCCCTGGCAGATATGTGAGAGAGGCTTCTCTGGGTCAGGTGCTACTCTAGGCCCTGGGACATAAGTGGTGAACAGCCTGTCTGGGGCCTTCAGTCCTGGAGTGAGGCTGGGGGAGAAAGATATCCAACATTCATGAATTATAAGTTTGGGGAGAAAATAAAGCAGGGAATCAGTAGCAAGTGCTGGGAGAAGCCCTCCCTGATGAAAGGACATTTGAGCAGAGGCCAGCGAGGGGGGGCGAGGGAACTGGCCAGAGGACTTCTGTACCTAGGACAGCCCCCATGCCCGAGAACCATCACGGTGCACTGCAGGACAAAAACCCAAAACTCCCCTTGAAAGGAAACTTTGGAAGCAGCACCGGACCACTGGGAAGAGAAGACCTGTATCCTCACACATGGTCCCTGTGACAAATGCTCCTAATGTCCTTATTTTCCAGTTAGGAAACAGGCTCGGAGAGGTCAGGCAACATGCCCCAGGTCACACAGGCAGCCACAGTCAGCAGAGACGGGACTAGCTGGAGGCCAGCTGATGGCTGCTGCTGAGCATTAGGGGCTAATGAAGTCTGTCTACCCACCCCCAAACACACACACCTTTTGGACTGTAATTCGGGAACAGGTGTGGGTGGGGCATTTGCTGGAGTGATGAGACTTCTACACACAGGAGGTTTCAGCAGCAGGACTTGGTTGTGGGGCGGGTGGAGGGGAGAAGCCTTCCTCCTCACACCCTGTTTCCCTCCCTCCAGCCAGGTCCCAGACCCTGGTGACTTGCTGCAGGAAACCAGGTTAAATTCTGCCCAGACACCTTCCAAATCCCCGACACTGTCCCTACAGCCCGGGTGAGGGCCGGGGGTGGAGGGAAGAGGTTCAGTTCAACCCAAAGCCCACTGGACTTTTGTTTTCAACTCTGAGGATTTTTCAGTGAGTCTCCTGATGAGTCACCCCAAAGAGATGCTTCGAAAAGGGACTCCCAGAATTTGGATCGCCCTCTCCCTGGGCATGGCGCCCGGCGCTCTTCCTCCCACGGTGGCATTTGTGCATCTGGTCTGAGAGAAAGCCTCTCTCTGTGCTCATCCCCTAGAGTTTCGGGATCCGGCCTGTGTCAGTTCATTATTTCTCTGCCGCCTCTGCCTTATTTTGCTGGGCGCCCTCTCTGTGCCCGGCCCTCGGTGAGACCTCCTCTCACAGCGTCCCTTGGCAGGGTCATCTTCCGTTTTACAGGTGCAGGAGCTGAAGCTCAGAGAAGTAAAGTGGTTTGAACCTGGCTTTACCCAAAGCCTGTTTGTTGTCAGCCTTGTGGGGGAGGGGGTGGGAGAAGTTGGGCATGAAGTGCTAGAGTCACACCATCCTCCTTTGAGGGCTCTTTGTCCAAAAAAAAGTCATCCTGCCAACTTCCCGATGACGGGGGATTTCTGTGGGGGACAGTCTCGGTTTTACCAGGAAACCTCTTTTGTGCTTGTTGTCTGGTACCCTTTTCACTCCCAGAATAACTGGATTTGGATGATCAACCCTAGGGTCACCCTGGTTGTTTGCAAGGTCACTGCTTTGGGAGACTCAGATTTTACATCAAATATGAAACGGGGCCTCTTGTCTGCTGGACCGCCTCCGCATCCTGATGTGCGCACGTCTGACCGAGAACTTTCTCAAGTTTATGGGCTTTTCAGGAGCAGCAAACCCCGCTGGCTGGGGCAGGACTGCCTCCCACGCCAGCTCTGCCCTTCACTTCCTCTGCGATCTTGGCCAGTTCCCCAACTGGCAAATTTGAGTGGTTCTCCAAAAGTCCAGTAGACCTTGACCATCTAGGATTTCCTGTTGCCCAGGGCATGCTGGGAAACCAACCGAGTGTTTCGGTCAGAGCAGGGGATGCAGGAAGCATCGTCCTCTCCATCCCATTGCACGGTTCACTTTATAAAATAGCAAACCTCCTTTTCAGTCTAGTTTACCTTTTAAATATTTACTTAATTGATTTTTGAATAAATAGTACTTGCCCACAGTTTGACATTCAAAAGGTGCAGAAAGGCACCTAGTAGAAAGTCACCCTTCATCCCGGACTCTGGCTGTCTCCCTCTTCCCTAAAGGGACCAAGTCGACAAACTCGCTCTGCTCCCAGGCACTGTTTTCTGTGTGCGCATGCGTGTTTCTTATTTTTTACAGTTTGGAACACAGGTTTTGGACCCATTGGATGTCCTCTGAAATCGTCTCTTAGACAAATTGGTTAACCTCTCCACGTATGACCTTTGTCATCTGTGAACACCCTCACTGGGGACATGGACACCCAGATCAGAGAGCCGCTGCCGGCAGAGCACACAAGTGCAGAGCTCAGAGTTCTACTGAGAGGATCTGTTTGTTCATTTATTGATTCACCTGGCCTGTTATCGTTTTGTTTGACATGAATAACAAGGTGGCTGTATAATTTATTGTTCAACCCAAGACACTTTTTGAGCAAAAGGAGACACTTTAATCGATGATGCTGGGGCTTCATTGCCCACCTTGGGTGCAGGGTGGTCCTAGGCACACAGGGACCTCTGGTCACGTCATGAATCTTGAGTCCTCCCATGCCAAGCTCTGGGCAGACGCAGAAGGCTCAGAGGACTCCATCACCACCCCCACCCCAGGGGACAGGAGAGAAGCCACAGGCCCATAGTTTCAATCAGCAAACCCGTGCCCACGTTCCTGTGTTTTTGCAAGCTCATGAAACTCCTGCCAAGGCCAGAAGAACATTCGACCGTCCCCATCTCTATGCTTGTCTCTGAGTTCCAGTCCCCCTCATCTGTAAAATGAACAACAACCCCTGGCTCAGAGCGTAGCTAAGAAGGCCCCTCAGGAGAACGCACACTGGAGGCACAGTTCTTGGTGCTCATGATGAATCAGTGGAACTTGAATCTGGCGGTTGAAACAGCAAGTACTGAGGTAGTGGAGAGAGCTGCAGGGAGGTGCAGGGGTGTGGGGGCATCACCATGGGCATCTCTGCCTTTTGCTGGCTGCACCTGTCAAGCGAGGGTTGGAATGATGATCCGCCAAGGCTCTCCCTGCCTTCATTTAAAATGGTTAACTTGTGCTGTTTCCACATTCTGGGGCGTCCTGGGTGTGGGGTCTACCGCATCAAGCCTGCAGCATGCTCAGAGTTGGTGACTGTCACTGCCGAAGGCAGGAAGAGATGACTGCTTACCAAGCAAAGCATGATGGCTTACAAGATGCTTCCCTCTGGGCAGGCAGAGGCCTGACACCCTGCTCTTAATGTGCCATCCCTTAGAGCCACATCTTAGCTCCCCGGCTCTCCCGGCCCTGGAACACAGCGCTGTTGTTGCTCTTGTTGTTGTTGTTTGGTTCTTTGTTTTTGTTTTGGGACCATAGTGTTAAACTCTTCACCAAGTATTTTCAGGAATACCACCTCCTGTGACTGTGGCAATCCCGAGAGACTGCCTTCATTTTACGGACGAGCAAACTGAGGTCCAGAGTGAAAAAGGGGATTGGCTAAAGTTGCAGAGCAGAGGTTTCAA